TTTCCTCCAATATACCTTGTCTATTACAAAAGCAATTCCCATGATATGGCAGTATATGTTTATTAAATAAATTAAACGACAGTAAGGTTCACAAGCCAATTTTAGAATACATTATTCTTTACATCGAAAGCTCTCTTCTCTCCAATACACCGGCACAACACATTTCACCACTGCTGTAAAGTGAAAGATTAAGGGCATGGAAGCGCAAGGTTTCCAAATTACACTTCACAAGTCCATTTAGGAGAACTCACCTCATAAGATAAGTGAAACTACATTCAAAACTTTTTTGAATCTTTAGATCCCATGACTAGTCAAATATATCCAAAATAAACATCCAATCAGCATCGAGATGTTCAATACCCCAAAAATTTGAAATTACCATCACGTGAGACTACGTTCTCAGTTAAGCTTCTTCAAAAAAAAACATTTGGTGTTTTAATAATAGTGCTAGATCCCTCCAATATAAATCCAAATTTGAGACTGCACAGGGGCCAATTCCTGAATCCAGCTAAGTTTTGGACACAATACCCTAATGACCTGTTTATTTAGAGTCGTAGTTTATCATCTAAAACATCATCATGTCATCATATCTAAAACCATTAAAAAGTCAGAAAAATTATCTATCAACAATTTTGACGAGACATTTTTCATTGTTTTTTTAAAAGCATATCATGTTCGTCAATAATATAGGATTGGTTACAGATATCACTCTACCTTCAGCCATAACCTGAGTAATTATTTCATCCTTTTCCTTCAATAAAGCAGCTGCATCACTTCTTTTACTCTGCTCTCGTCGAAGCGTCTATCTCTTTCCTTAGTGAGAGCATACAACTGCAATTATTCACAAAAATGCAGAAAAACTGCAACAGTTATTGCAGAAACTAGACAGCCTAGTATCAAAAGCTTAGACATAAATCTAATAATCCACTTTGATAGATCAAATTCTGCAAGAAATTGCTAACATGGAAATACCAACATGGCAATGCGTAAATTAAAATACTAAGGCCTCATTTGGCATCACATTTAAAATTACTTATAAACACGTTTCATGTAAGTCAAGACAAAACTCCTCTCACATAGTTATTTTGTATTCTATAAATCACAATTAAAAAGCTGTTTATAAACCATTCCAAATGGGCCCTAAATCTTCCTTAGAGTGAATTTAAGTTCTTTCACTAAGGTTTCACGGGAACCATATGTATATCATAGGCACTGTTATTGCTAACATTTGATTGGTAAACCTTCATTGGCTCATAATATAGACAAAGCATAGGCCAAATAAAACAGAAAAGTCTTAAATCAATCAGAAAACCAATATATTTCCATGTTATAGGACATTAACAACGCAATTTGTTCAAATCCACCAATTTCTATACCTTCAGATTTTAGCCGAGATATAAGGCATATGACCTTATGCATATTGCTCAATGAAAAACAATATAAAAGGTTGAGATTATGCAAAATACAGAAACAAATTTCAAATGCAAGAGCCACATCGCATCAAGTTAAAGCACGGGGTTAAAATTTTCTTATTATTAAGAGAAACTCCAGGCTCATCCCTTAAATTTTTCGGGCATTAATTGGGGAACTTTATGAACTTTATACTGCATCTAAGGTAGTATCCTAAAGAACCTAATGCCACATCTGATGATAGATTATGTCACTTTACTTTCAACATGCTGCATGTTTTGTTGGCAGTAACAAGGTTAACTGAAAGTATATTTAAAGTTTTAAACTACAGAAAGCTATACACAGATTTGCATCCAGCCTTGAGTGAACATTATAAATAACTTTGACAGACAATGCAAATGACAAAGAATTACAATGAGCTATACCTTTCGCTCAAGAGTTGCAACCTTCTGATGATATTCCTCTCGCAAAGTCTCAACTTCTGCCTCACTGGATTTTCTCTATTCCATGAGCAACAAGAATAAAGAAGTGGGAAATCGGGATAAGCAGAACATGATAAAATTTATATTTCAAAAAAAAAATCCTCCAAATACTTTACAAGGACACAAAGGGACCTCCCCGGGAAAATAAAAAAATGGCACATGATAAGTAGGAAAAAGAAGCATCCAAGCTTGGTTATAAGTAAGCAAAAGAGTATGCACATAAAAGTTCTTTACATGCATTGCCTAAAAACAATAGTCTTTGTTTGATTTATAATACTGCTAGATCTGACCCAAGCTGAATTAAGAAGTTAAACGATTAAACCCAAGAAATTCTTGAACTGCAGAAAGTTCTAATAGAAATGACCATTATGCTGCTGAATGCCCACATCGTCATAACTCAGGAACAGCTCATTTTTTCATGACATCGACACAAATCTTACACATATTGTCCAAATAATAAAATATGTTTTTCCATAATATCAGATCATGTAAAGGAAAAGGAAAATGGGATCCAAGGCTAGCACTGATTCGAAGTAAACAAAAAGTGTCAATTCAGCAGACACAAATGAACACGTGAATGACATTTAAACGACTTGAACGTTGAGGAACCAAATAAAACACTAGGGGACAAACAAGGAAATAAAAAAAATGATATACCTTTAAATCCTCAATCATAGCTTTCATGTGTTCATTTTCACCCATCAATCTGGCTATCTCATCAGCTTTGGCCTGCAAAGAAATTTAATAGAAACATCAAAATTACAAAATTGCAATAATATGCTGGGTTCAACACATGAACAGAGAAGACCAAAGGAAGAGTAGGATAGATACAACAGGCATGCAGCTTATTGATAAAATGAGACACTGAGAAGAAAAGTACCAAGAGCAAATGAGATTTGACAGCTAATAGATACCTCATTTTTGGGGTAAGGCAATTGCAACAATTTGATACCTTTAAAAGGGTATGGATGGCAAAGGTAGTCCTTAAGATTTGAAGAGATTCAAGGACTATCAGGATGGTAAAATTTTTAACAAGACTTGATATTATCGGAATACAGCACAATGTGCATTAGGGAAAGTGAGCATGCAAAACTGACTGTGGTAAGAATATTTATCACAGGACAATTATCAATCAGACTAAAAATTGCACAAAAATATGAGCTTTTGAAAAAGTGAATTAGGAGCAGGACTTTACAATCTGACCTCTGAACACTACTTTACAATCAATATTTTTGTTATATAGACAAAAGGCTTGATAATTTATCTGCTCGAAGACAAAAGTGATTGAAACTTATATTTTTTTAATTAAGAAGAAAAGGATGAAGGCAAGTTTCATCATGTTCTCATGGTTAAACTTTACAAGAACTCGTCCCTAAATTGTCATCCAGCCTGAACTTTTACAGTATCAAGATTCAAGGAAAGTTACTCGTCAGGGAAAAATTTTTTTGCTAGGATGATTAGCACAGAAAATGAAATACCTGAGCTTGTCTTGCAGCACCTTGGAGTGCAGTTTCCATCATTTTCATCTCGCTCTTCACTTTCTCCAGCTCAAGCAAAGAATCTGAGTCAGAGTTATCCATTACAGAATTGGGATGCTGCTCTTTCTTGTCAGTTTTAACATCATTGACTAAGTGATCCCCTTCAACTGCCCTGAGAATTTCTTCATTTTCGTGCAAACCCAAATTGGGTAGCACATTAAAAGACTCATTTTGAGGACTAGCATTGGTTAAGTGTTCATCATGTGATAGATTAATGCTATCAGTTTCCTCAGTAGCCACAGAATGCAAAACAGGAGGCTTTGTCTCATCTCCACCTTTGCTATTACCAGATTCCTCAGATTGTGCTGGAGAAACTTGCTCCATAATAGCTTCTTCTTGCACCCTCTCTTCTTTCCTCTCCTCTTCTGTCTTGGCTTGGAAATTATCTTGCACATCAGTAACACCATGCAGCTCACTTTGCTCACTCAAACTACCCTCAACTTGATCCTTCCCAAGATTAACAGGCTTGAGTTGTGCTGGCACTGGACTTGCAGTATTCTCAACTTCATCAATTTCATTCTCTTGAGGACCGTCAACAGAAACAGAACGTTCAACATTCTGCATGATGGGTTCAGACGAATCAGCTGGCATTGCAGGAAACTGGTTTTCTTCCTTTTCATGGTCTGACTTCTGCACCATGGTTCCACTTTCTGACTCTATAAGCTTATCACCCTCCTCTACTGTGATCACTTTCTTTTCTTCTCCAGAAGCAATTTCTTCAGTTTCGGTACGGGCCGCATTATCATTTCCAACTCCTTCTACCTCAGTAATTGTTGGATGATTTGAAGGCTCAGTATTTTTCATCATATCCTGGGATACAGGTTTTTGTTGGGATGATTCAGACTGTCCAGATGTTTTTTCTTGTACAATGTAATTACCTTCATTGCTGGATTCAGACTTCCCTTCAAACCCAAGAGCGGAGTCAAAATTTTTCTCAATATTCTTCACACTCTCCTGAAGCTTATTCACTGCTCCCGCCAAATCAGGGAAGTTGCCCCATGAATTTGATCCACTAAACCAAGCCATCTTCAAACAAGAAACCAAAAAAAAAAAGTCATCCCACAACCAATTCAAATCGCACCAAAAATTTTAAATTTTTATTTTACACAACTTCAGATCCCACTAGTCAAGAAAAATGAAACGGATCAAAAGCGATCAAATTCAACCCATGCACCACAAAATATCATCACTCCAAGCATCGGAAAACAGTAGCGTATCCGAAACTCATTCGTGTACAGAAAATGGGCACACCTAAAGAATACTAAATTAAAAAAAAATGCAAGTTAAAATCCGGCAATCTGTGAATAACAAAACAGAGATCAATGCAGAGAAATCGAATTCGTGAAGCGAAACAATGGATAACAAATGCGAACCTTGGTAGCCCGTGATCAAGCAACTGCCTTGGATCCGGGAATCAAATCATCGTCTCAACAAATTGAGCTCATACTTGCGTTAACGAATTTCGTTTTTAAAATGCAATATAAAGAAGATGAGGGGGAAAACAGAATTGCCAGTGAAATTCTCTGAACTCAAAGAAGCATAAGAAAAGGAAAGGGGTGTGGGAAAAAATAGGAGAAGAGAGTGATATGGTATGGTGGAAAGGGATGATTTGATGAGCTCTGCAAAAACAGGCGGTGGATTGTCCGCCGCGAAAATTAGCTCCCAGACCCGACGACGTTGGTGACGAATGCAACGGTAGTCGTATTAGGCTGTTTGTTTCTCTGTTTTGCTTTTTTCAGCCCAAAATTAGCGTCTCATTGAAGACCCAAGTCCTAACTTTTTGAATAATTTGTATTTTACCTGAATTCTTCTTGGAGTGTCCCAAGAGCTGAATCATAAAAATTTTTATATATGAATTTTTATTCAATTATATAAAAAAATACAAAATTTGTGATTGAAACTTGAATACCTTTTCATGAAATTTTAAAAATAATTATATGATTATAAAAAAAAAAATCAACCAAATCCATTTATCCATTTACGACCAACATGAGTTCATTATATTACACGGACAAACGAACCAAGTTATTCATAACTAAGAATCATAAAGTTTATTGTCAAAAATTTTATATTATACATAAATATATAGATTCTCTGTTTTTTTTTTCACTTTGTATAAAAGTCATCACATTTTTTTTTTTATATATAAAGAAATTTTTGGAAAGGGGTTGGGCTCACCCACAATCCAAGACAGGGCGAAATCTCATCACATTCTATTGTCACTGTAAAGTAGGATAAATTGAGTTCATGCACCTTAAATGAGTATCAAAACTTAGCTCATGAACAAAGATCTTTTTCTTCTTTTTTTTTTATATTGACTAACCATTTTTTATTGGGAAATAACATGTTTCTATTAAATAAGATTTTGTATAGAAACGTTATAATTTTCTACACATTTTTTAGTATTTAAATCATGTCACCATTTTACCATTCACGGAATAAACAAAGGCTTTGGCTGCTATGAGAGCAGTTGCATCGTTCTAATTATTAGTTCTCAATGGAATTTCACTTATTTGATGATTTTATTTTTGGGCTCCCCAATATTATTTTATAATAAATTAGGAGGAGCTAAACTTTCCATACATACCCCAATCTCCCCTTGCCACTTAAACTAGCCTCAAGTGGATTGCTCCCCAATATTTTTTACTCTCTCATTACCCAACTTCATGATTAAGTAATCTTATTTGATGATTTCCATTTGTTCCAACTAATAAACTCTCCTCCATGGTACCACAAGCTATGGTCTTATTGCTCAAAACATCAAATTTTCTAACAGTTATACACATTTCAAAACTTGCTTTATAAATTTTTAACGAGGTAAAGTGTAAATTTATTTTAAAAAATTTTTAGTCAAGAATGTTAGGCACTCAAAAGCTTTTTGATTGCAAATTTGTTCTGAAATGTTAAAATTATAGCAATTTTACCTCCTCTCCATCTCATTAAAAAAATAATTTTGATTGTTAAAACAGTAACATTTTTAACCATAGAAACCAATATTATTGTAATTTTCAACTTCTAAGACAAATTTAAACAAAAACTTTTGAACGCCCAGTGCTTTTAATTCTTTCATGTAATAATGGTATTAAACCAAGTACATTTTTTTTCCTTTGCACAGTCATTTAAGCCCGGCAACAAAACCCTCAGCTCTTCTTTTCCTTCCAACCCTCTCACAAGAACAAGTTGCTTGGACCTTAAGAATCTGCACCAAAATCACGCTCTATAGTTTAACCTTGGCGGCAGAATACACTAACCCAAGATATCTGAAATTGATTTGTTCAAGATTTGATACAGCTCCTGCCTGTATCAAGAAAGAACTTTCAAGTGAGAGAGTACAAGATCAGCTTAGCAAATTTATTCTTTCTTTCTTTTTAGATATTCACTAAAATTGTGATATGACATGGCAGGTCCTGTCCTATTAAAGATCTTTATTAATATAGGGTCATTCTGATGGAAACTTGACTATAGGTCACCAAATTCTTCTTACCGATCAGGCTTGAACAAGAGATAGCGGTAAGTGAACCACTGAAACAGAACAGAGAAGTTTCAATTAATTAGTAACTGTAAATTAATCAAGAATCTAGAGGTGTCAGAAATACAGACTTAGAATGAAAGTGAATTTGAATGATCTCAACCTATGGCGTTTTAATTCCTCATGCATTACTTAGCAATGCCTAAATTATGAGTGCGGCACTTACTGAGCTGAACAGTATTCCAATTAATTCCAGTAGACCTGGGATAAGCGGCAATTTGTCAATGGCCTACACATAGAAGTCACAGATTGAGGAAAACAAAAAGAATTAAAACAACAAAGTCAGAGGACTAAATTAAAGACTCAATAGCTATATTTAAAAAAAAAACGAGGAATGTGTTTGAAAATCAGTACTCCCTCTGACCCTGAATTTAGGATATAGATAATTAATTCACATATATTAAGAAAATCAGTTAAGTTAGCTATTTGTTTTTTTTTTTTTAAAAAAAAGTGTGGTGGTTTCCATAAAGTATCCCCCTTTAATCAGTTACATTGGAAACTGCTTTTATGAATTGCACACATGAATGTGTACAATCAAGAAGGGTAGCTTGAGAGAAAAATAGTAAATATGGGAGACAAAAGGAATTGAGGTGATACATATAGAACCAAAACAAACTCCTCAACCAGCTCCTATAGCTAGGATCAGATGGAGTATAAACCTTAAACAACAATAACCTGAATTTCTGTTAAACTATGGTATAAAGCAAAAGTTTATCACCAAGCTATTGTGGAACACTGTAACTGACACCTCAAGGCTAGCTTGGAGAGTTACAGATAAAAGGATATACCAAAAACCACAATCAGTAAACATTTGCTTACAGCTCAGATGTAACAATCCAAATCTAAAATGAACTTGTTCATGAGTCCATATCAACTTCTGAAACCATCAACTCTAATCCTTGGTAATACTGTTTCCATGTCTTCATAGTTCAGAGCAGAAGACAGATTCATTTTCCAATATAATTAAAAAAAGAAATAGTGAGCATTACCGTAATCAGATTTACTGATGCCCAAAGTGCCACTACAGCTGTAAAACCCAAGCCAATTAGTCCCACCCGATCCTCAGGTTTATCCCACTGTTATTAAATAAACAAAGAAGAAATAGACAAGCAACTCAAGGTACTTTCTCTTTGTTTGAATGAGATAGATAAAAATAGATAGGTAGACATGAGAGAGTGAAGGTATGGAGAACTCACAACATTCTGAACAGACTTGATAACAGTAAGGGAGGTAGAAGATTCAGAACTTTCCCCGGTAGCCTTTACAGTAAATAAACCAGCAGGATGATTCTGTCTCCCTGTGGTGAGGGCGAATACCAGAATTCATGAAACAAGGAATTTAAGCATAGGACACAGCCGTACCTATAACATTCACTAGCAATAAAATGAATAAGTAATCAAATGAATATCAACGATCATTATAGCTTCCCAGAGCAGCTCTCCTGCAGAAATTTATCAAGGACATTCACATGCACTAAATTATACTTTATAATCACTTGCAAACTAGACTTCGGATCCAATCAATTGTAAATTGCCATTATCTTCACTTCTACAAAGAAGTGATGTTATTTCGCAATCACATGCTCGTATATTCCAGTTGAACATCTGTAGGTTGCAACTACATCGCTTGATCATGTTTTCCCAGCCTCCCCACCCACATCAAACACACTCATCTCCGTCAAAAATCAATTTCACAGGAGATTGGAACAGACAGTTAAGTATTTCTGCCAGATTACTCACTTGGACCTAAGCCACCTAAGCTTAAAATAACTAATTAACATCCAATTGCATGCTAGCACGGTTAAGCTGTGAATTTATATGAACAAATACATCTGGAATTAAATATTCAAAAACCCTTACACCGGCTGAATACACACAGAAGGAAAAAAAGAATAAGAAATTGACATCTGAAAGAAACGCAAATAGCCAAGACAGGGTTACCCGGCACAAGAAAAATAGGGGATCTCTTCAAGTTCCCTGAAAAAGGCTTTACACCATGGACCAGCAATGCCGGCGGCAGGTTAGCAGTAATGGAAGCCATTTGCCCTCAGAAGTTCAGCACAATCTTGTGAAAATGAACATAGAATACAAAATTTTTAATGCATGGCTCGTCATTGAAAAACAGAGACAATCAGATGAAAGAAAACAAAAGATAAACTTTGACATCAGGAAGCAAATTATAGAGGTTTACCTTCTGCTGCTTCTGCAGTGTGTGAGCTAAGGAGAGACAGAGCTTCAGAGAATTCTAGTCAAAACAGTATTCACCTTGAAAAATAATGGCCGCTTTTGAACCTTCGACTCGTTTCAGCCACAAAATGCTGGGAGGTTGGTTGGGCCTATCAAATCAAAAGCCTATGATCGATCATGGCAAAACGACAAACCATAAAAATGCTACGGTGCCGTTTAGTTTGCTCCGGGAAAATTGGCACTTAAAACTGTTATTGATTTTTCTCCCCCCTCATTCTATTCATTAAGCTTGATCATTTTATTCTAGTTATCAACAAGAGTTTTAAGGTTTCCATGATATTCCTATGTTAGACAAGGGAGAAGAAAAAAATGTGATTTATAAAATGTTGAATTGCTATCCAATCATGTACGGCAAAGTATTAGATCATTCAAAATAAATCATGGCATCTTTCAAGAAATAATTAGACCATTTTTGTGTTAATAAAACTAAGGAAGAATGACAGTCAGATACCAAAATGTCAATTTAATGACAATTAGATTCTTGATAAAAAGAATTTTAAGAAATGCATTGCAAATATTGATTCAAACTGTTGCGTATTCTAAGGTCTCAGTTACAAGATACTTAAGTTTAAAATGTAATAGTCAATTACAACTAAGACTTCTATCTGCAACTGTATGAATTAATATTTGCAAACCACTTTTTTAGAAAATTTTGACCACAACCTAACTATATTTAATTTGATATTTTGGTACCTAAGTGTCATTCTCCCTAAATTAATACTATCTCTAGTCTTAATTATAAAATCTCGTTTGTAGATTACAAACGAAGTCTTATAATTAGAACCGGAGATAATACATCCATTTGAGACATTCTAAGGTTAAATAAATCAACAGATAGATGTGAGACTAATGTGATCATCAAGCATTCAATTGTTATATAAATACGTCATATTTGACAAAATATTAGAGCACTCAAAACAGTTCCAACATTTTGGTGATGATAGCCACAGCATATTTCAAGGATAGTTAGACAGCAAAATCATATTCACTTTAAATGGTCCTTTTTTTTTGTTCTTTTATATCTTAATATCTCAGCTTTGTTAAATTCTTCAGATCAAATGTTGTTTTGGGAATAATAGATCATTTAATAAGCTCATTAAGTTAACTCCTAATCAGTGACATGACCACTTCCTCCCTCCATAATTTCATTGCACACACAAACCAGTTAAAATCTGTTTAGAATAACAACACAATGTTTTAAAAGTAGTTTTTTAATCATAATTTACAGAATACAAAATAAATATATAGAAAAAAATTTATTTTGAATTACGTAAATAAATATTTTTGAGGATCTTGTCGCAATCCCAGCCAAGCACTTAATCATTTCTAATAGACATGACTCCAATAGGGACCAAGATAAAGCAGTGGAATAATGACGCTGAAACTGATTTGGTTGCACAAAATACTTGGTTACGATACAAGGTATCTCTTGAACACCTCACACTCAAGGAACAACACACAGAAAATGATGAAGAAAGACTCTTTTCCTCCAAACCTAACCTTGCTTTCGAGAAGCTAGTCCTCTCCTCACTACCCTCGATACAAAATAAGTCCTGCCTTTACCTGAGAACCCAAAAAATGTTAATAGTCCCAAAAAAGTGATCCTCACAACCCCCAATACAACGCTTTCCTAGGTCAGGCCTATAGCCACCCTAGAGTAGCTAATATGCTCAGCATCTCTCTCTAAAAGAGAAGAAAACTTGAGGCCAGAAAGTGATTTTACTCTTTCATGTATCTTGCTAATTTTACTTTTATAGGTCTGGTAAGTAAAGCCAATTCTATCAGACTCACAACTCCCTAAGTATGTGGAGTTCTGCTGGTGATGCTGCAGATTTTCTTTTAGGAGTTTTAGTCTATAAGTTTAGGTGTCTAGTGAATGTTTAGTGTCCTTGGTTTTTAAACCATGACCTTGCTGCTAGGTGAAAGAAGATTCATACAATAAAAAGTGTGGAACTGATCATCATTACGCTGCTAATTAAGAGAAAGGACCTTGTGATCCAAATTTAATATCCAGTTTCTACCGGTTATGTTTTCTCCATATTAAAATCTACCACTATATGTTTCATTATTCATGTTTCATGATGACTTCTCTTTATTGTTGATCACCATAATTGTTTTCAATGAACCTAGAGGCCCAAAGAGCTCCATCAGGCACTGTCAGAGGATCAGATGATACCTAGGTTGTTCACGGACAATTCTCAATCTGCTAAGTGGATCAAACATTTGATAATAAGTGGAATCTTCGAACAAACTTCTTGGGCCTGTTTGTTTAAGCTTGCTAAAACAAATTGAAAGAACTTTAAGCTAAGCATGAAGAATTTGTTTGAAAACCTGTTTCCAGCTTATCTTGTTAAGATTAACCACGGCTCTCCCAACAAATCTCATGTTTAACTTAATGAAATTCACGTTTTTTAAGCTTAAACAAACAGGGCCTCTGATCTTGAGGATATTTCTCCAATGAACTTTCATTCTTAAAGAAGACCATTCAACTAGTTCTTGAACGTTCAAAGATCTCCCTAGGAAGGTCAACCACCAAATGAGACAACTAGTCACGATTCAGATTTATGCACATGAAGATGTTAAGGCTTAGTTCAATCCCTTCAACCAAGTGAGGCAAGCCGTGTTGGCTTACTTTTCTCTTTAGATGCCAAATATGCCTAACTAAGGTTTACTAAGAACATTTGCCGTTAAATGTTAATTTTTATTTCTGTGTTTGTTTCTTTCTTTTAGTTTGTGGAGAATATATATGAGATTCTTTCCAATTAGATCTTGCCTACCCTCCCTTTTAAAGAAAAAAATAATGGAAAAAATTGGAGCTTTTAGTTTAGAATTCTATCTCAAGCTACTTTTATTGATCTTTCATTAAGCTGAATGAATTGTACTTGAAAGTTTGTTATTTCTCTAATACTACAGACATATCAGTCCAAATCCTATTCTGTAATGACCTATGCAATTATGTCTTAAAGAAACTGTTAAAAAATGCTTTATGCCATAGAATCCTTAATTATCTGGAAAGTAAATTATCTGACATAAGAGTCCTTACAGAAACTACTGAACAAGGCCTTTGTATTGTACTTACAAGTTTGAATAAGAGATTACTCTTTACCTAACTGAAAATGAAGCTTGGTTTTCTCTTTAGAAGAATGATTATCAAATTTTACTCTATTGTTTCCACAGTAGAAGTGAAAAATGGCAGAAAATTAAAGGTTGCATGGACATATGAAAAGAAAGCCGCTAAGGGCGCTGGTAGAAGAGTTGAGTAAATGTTCTTTAGCCCATAAAAGAGATATGAAGAAAGATCAAGAAGGACACTCAAAAAATTTATCAAACCAAACAGTCTCTCGGTTAATGTGAAGAGTTAGCTAACAGAGCACTATGCAATTTATGTAGCCAGCCTCATTGAGTGGGATAAGACTACTTGTTGATGTTGTACGGATTCTAAATCCATATGTAACAGTTTTGAGCAAGTATCTAATCATTCAAGAAGTTGAACAATCTGATAAATATATTGCTTGCACTACTTGATGAATGACCAATCTTATGGATCCAAGCCTGCAATTTCTATTTCCAAATTTGTTTGCATTCTATATTATTTTTTTATTAATGTCAATCAACTGTTAAAATTTGAAGGTAATCAGTTAGTTGTAGACTGGTAGTTGAAATAACAATATTATTTTAGTTTTGAATGGCCAAAGTTTCTAAATGGCAAAGCCATCGAAAAAGGATGTGGTGGATTTAGAATGAGTCAATATCTATAACTAATATTTGATGGTCCATTATTAAGCCTTCCCTACGTGATAAATTCTGATAGCAAACACATTGAATAATGAAATTTCCTAATGGCAATTTGCTTGGTGTGGATATTTAAGAAGATGAAAGCCAGCCTATAGCAATTTCATCGGTATGAATTGAATATAGAATTCAATTTTATGTGTTTGGTGTGAACAACGAAATTTCCTAATGACGGTTTGCTTGCTTTAAATATTTTAAGAGGATCAATAATCAGCATAAGACAGATTCATCGGTGTGAGTTGAATAAAGAATTCAACTTTATGAATAAGATATCAAATAAAGCTATTCATTGGTAGATCTTTTTGATCCTTGCCAGCCCCATTTTTCATAAATAAATAAAATTTCTACACAAGGTTATAACTTATAAGCCATATGATCCCAAGCTTGAAGCCAAGGAAATTGCATTAAAAAATGCCTTAGGAATTGAATACTTCTCTTAGTTACCTTAAATGGTGCTTGACACTAAGAGATCATGATCCAATATATCATATATTGTAGGTTCCATAATGTGAATCATTCCAACTGTCACCTAATTTTATTTGATCTTGATCTGCTGGATATAAATAAATATAAACATGTTTAGTAATAATCAGCTCAGTGGCATCATATGATATATAGAGCATTATTATATGGATAGTTCAAAATCCTTAGTTTTGTCCTCTTTTAGGTTTCATTCTCTGCCTCACTCACTCTGCAATGCCTGCAAAATGCTAATTGGAGGATAACATAAAAGAAGAATGTGAAGTCCTGATTCATATATCAGTAAGCTTACTAAGAAGGGACAAACAAAGATTAATAACAACCCTCCCTACATATAAAGTACTTATAATGCAATAGCATTGGCTCATGGCTATACATGAAGGAAGTCGCTTTAAAAATTGTACTCCTCTACCTCTTATATAATTAAAAGACTGTGTACTCCATATTTCCAAATCAAGTAGTTCAAAATTTACAAGTGACAGCTATATGGTAGCAAACAATTAAAGTTTTCTATGCTTAAGTCTTGTTCTCAAGAAT